TCTTCTTCTTCTTCTTCTTCTTCTTCTTCTTCTTCTTCTTCTTCTTCTCCCCAATAAAACACTCTTCCCATCCAAATACATGGGGGCAACGCCGGTCGTTATCAAAAGTGAATCGAAAGAGAGCATTTCGTCATGTATAAACTGCATAGGAAGTGAAAGTTTCTGCCAAATGGATATGCGGAAGAATCTTTTGTGTATACTTTCCACAAAATATATTCCTATTCATAAAAGCTTCGAAAAGTACACACTTAAAATCACAAAGCACTTAAATAGTCACTTTTTTTTACAAAATTCCGCTTTTTCTGGCGATTGAAAAGAAACTTCTGCAAAAGTCGGCATCCTGGGATGACGTAAATAATTCACTTTGTTGGCGAGAATTTCTTGAAATTGCTAGGTGTGCATTTCATGATGAAATCACTCAACGTTTGCGCCCCCAAAAATTAGTCCGTTGCTTCGTGGGTGAGACTTGCTGGCATTAATATACCTGTCTGTTTAGCTTCCAGGATACTTGTATCCCCAGATCAACCACATCAAAAAAGGAGGTTGACAGAGGCCAGATGTGGGAGACAGTCTGTTAGTTTTCCTGAGCTATCGGGCTCTCGATAATTCCCATTATTAGCATAAAAATGTAAGCAGATGATCAGGAAGTGGGCTTTGTTTAGACGTTTGAAGGCTCAGCTGAAGCCTGACTATCGCCGCCGTTAAGCTTCTTTTTTTCTGCAGAAACGCGAATCTACACTTTTGGCTTTCATTTCTAAGCATGACCTAAAATATCCAACGGTGGCAATAGCTAATATGCTCCCCCATCCCCTAAGTAGCAGTACCAGCCTCAGTTTCACTGAGTCTGTCTTGACACCTGCTGACGGTGTCGCTTAAGACCAAGTTAGGCGATGTTTCTGGCCTGCATTGGAGAAAGCGGCCTACGCACGAGCCCGTTCGGTCGTCTTGACTTTGTCTTGTCACGGGTCAAACGAGTAAGAGTTTAAAGTGAGCTAGACAGTTGCGCATCTAATGCACTCGAATCTCGTCTCTGACTCCAGTTACCAGCCCTGCTCTTGGGCGTATGGTGGACGTCATCGAACTCGCTGGTCAAACTATCATCATCATGCGTTCTATACAAATGCTTCAACGGCTGATTATCGATTGACCCAGGGCGCGTAACAACTGCGCACTTCCTCTGATTATTGGAAAACGATTGGCAATAAATTGCGGGTTTTATTGAACTTCAACTCCTTCAACGTACCACAGCGCCATTTTAACAAACTCGACACTATGCGAACATTGTTCTTGTTTGTGCTACTCGGCTGCTTCCAAGCCGCGAACGCTTTCGATGTTTTCGGTTTCGGTGGCCTTGCAGGTGGATTCCGGCAATCCGCGGAGGAAAGTCAGGGAGTTAATCCACTTGGAACTGTTCTCAGGGCAACCCACGGCGGATTGAAAGTAATGCGCCACGTCGACGACCTACATCAGGTAGCTAAACAACTAGAGGATAAACAATATCGTAGACCTGATGAACAAGTCATTCGCACTGCCAACGGCAAGGTAATATCCGGACATGATAGCGGGCCGGTCACTATGGACTACACTATTTATGTTGAATCAAAAGACGACTAAAACCCCACTGAACGGCAGTGTTTTTGACTCTAGTACTTCTTACTGTTTAGTTGCTGTTTTTTGCTATGCGTATTTAATAAAATAATGTCAATGTGTGACAGTGGCATGAGTTCAAACCATTTTTTTAAAAAAGACCCGTTCGAATGAACGGAAATGGCTGGGCAGAAAGGTTACATATTCTAATTAACTACTAGCGGCATCGAAGACGTGGATAACTGAAGATGAGCTACCTAAAGGATCCTCCAGATAACTGACTACTTGCGGACATTCAAACGATTCCGATTTTATGACTTGAAATGAATCTGACGTGACTTCGATCGGTGATTAGGATTCTTTTTTCACTATTGCGTTTACAGCGACTTTTTGTCAGTTTACTTACGCTGTACGTCTTACTCCTTGAAAATATCCTTTAGCGATCTCATCGGACCGGACGCTCACGGGCAGTTAGATAATGCCATCGGAACCAGTGTTAATATTACTTTGAGACAACAAACCCAAAAAAGAGGGCATGGCTGTCAGGTTAATAAGAAAATGTACAAATGATACTCGTTGGAACTCACTACGTCTATTTTGCTTAGGAGGATCCTGGTTGTCCTCCAGTTTTGGTTTAGATAAATAAAACTAAGATATAGTTTGAAGTGGTTAATTCACTGTCTTTATGGGCTGCCATGACACCGGTAGCATTTCGTTATATATTTGACTCTTTAGTCCCTTGTTGCACGGATGTTTTTCGCTAATTTTCTTCCAGCAAAGAATTATATTTTGCACACGTGGGACAAATTATCCGTACTTTGCAAGCGCACTTGTAAAAAAACTGCAAGACTCATATTTGATCGCCGTGAGGAACAGCCTACAAGGAAATTTGTAGTCCCTATTTTAATAAAGTAATTGAGAACTCTGACAGATGGTACTTAGTGCGCGTTTGACTCTGATTCTATGCCGAAAATATCGTTGTTTTTACTGTCG